GCAGGAAACTGCGGCGCCCGGAAGAGCCCGCGCCGCCGCCAACACGTTGCACGGAGTCATTCGACCGGCCGCGGCCCCACGTGGGCGGGGCCGGCCACCAGCCGGGGTGCGGGCTGCGCTCCGCTCGCTCACGCGCGGCCCCAATCACGCTGCGGACCCAGAATCCCTGGAAGAAGTAATAACGGCCGGGCTAACATTTAATCCGACAACCCCTTTAGGAGACAAGTATTTCTCTTGTTCTCATTTAATAGTTGATGTAGGACCCAGATTGAGCCACACTAAGAATCCAGGACTATGCGACCTGGAGGTAAGCCCCCACTCCACAGGAGGTGGGACTCTGAGGCCTGCAGTGAAGCGGGGTGCGCGACGACCAATGCATTGCATACATTTCAGTATCTCCCCATTTCCCCCCCTATCTGGCAAAAGTTTTTTAACTCATGGCTTCAGACATTTTGCACCTCTGCTTATGAGCCGGGCTGGGATGGACAGCGGCTGGGGCATGACTAGTCTCCCGCCCAGGCTGAAGTTCCAGACCTCAGGGAGTAACTGCTTGGCTGACTGATGTGCAAGCTAAATGGTAAGTGAAGGTTCTAGAGCAGTGGTTCTCAACCTTCCGAGTGCCTCCACCCTTTAATACAGTTCCTCATGTTGTGGCGACCCCCAATTTCATTGTTACAAGTTGAACATAATTAAAGCATAGTGATTCATCACAAAAACAATATGTAATTATATATGTGTTTTCCGATGGTCTTAGGCAACCCCTGTGAAAGGGTCGTTCGACCCCCAAAGGGGTCGCGACCCACAGGTTGAGAACCGCTGTTCTAGTGTGAGGCCCACAGAGTGCTTTCCTGGAGCACTTTCTCTGTACACTGTGGGCCGCAGGTTCCACCTTTCACCCTAAGGATGGATTCTGATAGGACCCTCCAATGGTGGAATGGGTAAGCAGATAAACACACGTGACAAGGACTCACTGATCTTAAAGAGCTCGCTTCTGGACCTGCTAAAGAAAGAGGCAGATAATAAAGATCATAGCGTGTATTGGTCAGCTATAACTGCCTAACAAATTACCCCCAAACTTCACAGCTTAAAACAGCACGCATACATTATCTCACAGGTGGTGTGGGTCAGGAACCTGATCAGAGCTTAGCTGGGCCCTCTGCTTCAGGGACTCTCACAAGGGTGCAAGCAAGTTGCCAACTGGGGCTGAGGTCTCACCTGAATACTCAAATGGGGAAGGGCCTGCCTGCACGCCCAATCAGTGGCTGATGGCCAGACTCAGCTGTCCATAGGCTGCTGGCCACAGGTCCTCACCATGTGGGTTTTTCTGACATGGCAGCTTGCCGCATCAAAAAAGGCAAATCTATAAGGCAAGAGAGTCTGCTAGCAAGAAAGACATCATTATCTTATGAAACCCAATCACAGACATGACATCCCAACACCTTTGCTATTTCCAGGGTGTGCCCCCAAAAATGTGTACACACCTTAACAGCTGATAGCTCAATTGGTGTTTCTTTCTTTTCAGATTTAATCCTTGGAGTTAATAATTACTCCAAGTGTGTATACATTTTGGGGTCACCCTGTATATTGTCTTGGTTAGAGACAAGTCACAGATCTTGTCCACACTCAAGGGGAGGGATTTCCCAAAGTTGTGAATATCAGGAAGTAGGGATTCTTCCAGCATCTAAGTAGGTGGTGACCACTATAGTTACTACATTTTTTCTTTCATGAAATGGACAATAATCAGGTTATCAGAAGTCATCACCCAGGAAGTGCTACCTAAAATGCACATTGCAGCCCTAGCTGGTTTGGCTCAATGGATAGAGCTTCAGCCTGCAGACTGAAGGGTCCCAGGTTCGATTCCGGCCAAGGGCACATGCCTGGGTTGCAGGCTCAATCCCCAGTAGGGGACGTGCAAGAGGCAGCCAATCAATGATTCTCTCTCATCATTGATGTTTCCTTTCTCTCTCTCGCTCTCCCTTCCTCTCTAAAATCAATAAAATATATTTAAAAACAAACAAATAAAATAAGATGCACATTGCTTATTTGAGCATGCGCTGGTGGTGAGAAATTTGGACAGGTCACATGATTCAAGTCTCTTCCAACTCGAAAATACCACTTCCTGGCATGTCAAAAATGTTGCTTTGGTACAGAGCCAGCTTTATCATGTCATCACGATATAATTTACAAATAAATTCCTAATGAACCATCTCAGACGTCCATGATTTTGCAGCACTGGCCTCTACGGCATAAACCTCGCATCACGGGTTCATGTTTTTGTCCTTATCAGAGATTCGTATGTGATAGAGCAAAGAGGTACTGGGTTTGAGAGCCTCTCAGTCAAGATGAGAGAGAGGTTTGACCACTGACTGAGTGGTCTTGGCCAAGGACTTAACCACCAAATGCAAGTTGTTTTTTTGATGTCTAAAGTGAGATTCGCACTTAGCTCAGAAAGGTCATTGGAAACAGCCATAAGAACCGAGAAAATATGACTTAGTACTCTAACCCTTCTTTTGCCACAATTCAAGGATCAGCATAGATTTGTTTGACTATGTAACAATGACTTACCACCACGAATACAGAAAGCATAAAGATTGGATATTTTTAGAAAAGTGAAATTTTAGAATCTTTTACCCTAGCCGGTTTGGCTCAGTGGATAGAGCTTCAGCCCTCAGACTGAAGGGTTGCGGGTTCGATTCTGATATAGAGCACATACCTCAGTTGTAGGCCTGATCCCCAGCTCTAGTCTGAGCCCATGAAGGAGGCAACCAATTGATATCTGTCTCCCACATCCATGTTTCTCTCTCTGTGTCTCTCCCCCTTCCTTCCACTCTCTTAAAAATCAATGGGAAAATATCCTTGGATGAGTTTTTAAAAAAAATAAAAATAGAATCATTCTTCCTGATTATCCAATCAGCAAATCATCACAACAAAGGACTTACTTACAAAATGCCCTTAAATTAGAGTTCCTTAGTCATTTTGATTCAACCAACATAAACATGACCTTTTTAAACACGGAACAATGACGACAGGCAATGAAACCCACTCTGGCTGATTTCAGAAAAAGGGAGTTTATTGGAAGCATGTTGGGCTGCTCCTAAAATCAACTGTCAGTTCTAAAAATGTGGCCTGTAGACTCCTGGAGTGCCTGAGCCACTTCCCAGAAGCCTGCTAACTCAAAACTAGTTCCGTAATAACACTAAGATGTTATTTGGCATTTTCACTGATTTAACATTTGTACTAGTGGTGCAAAATGGTGATAAAACCTGATGGTACCCTAGCATAAGTCAAGATAAGCTATACTCATAGTGATTGGATTCTTCATAACCACATACTAGAGAAAAAAAGAAAGCCAGTTTTACTTCAGAATGCCATTGATCTAGCCATGAAATTATTTAAATCTTGACCCCTGAGAACAGATCATGTTAATATTTTATGTGACGAGATGGTAAGTATGAATAAATCACTTCTGCTGCACACTGAAGCATGATGATTGTCTCAAGAAAAAGCACATGGGAAAACTGAACTTCCCACGTTTTTCAGGAACACCGTGTTTAATCTGAAGTTTTAAACTTCAGACCTGGCCTTTGGCAGGCATTTTCTCAAAAGTGAACAAGGTGAGCCTGCCGCTTCAAAGATAACAACTAACAGTATTGTAGCCAATGATGATAATGCAAACCTGCAAGTGAAATTTTGAATTTTTAGACAACTTGTCAATTCAGATGCTTTCTGATGAGCTTGGCGGTGATACTAAAAAGTGTAGGGTTTGGATAGTGTATGATGGATTTGGAAGAGCTACATAAATCAGCACACCAACATCCCCAAATGGCCATTGCATACACAATGTCACAAAATCTTGTATGGGTAAAAGACCCATTCAAAATGCAGGAAAAAACAATGGATTTAGATGGAACAGAGTACAAAAGTTCACTGGTATGGTTCCAGATGTCACATTGCAACTAATGTTTAAGAAATGACTACTTTAGCCCTAACTGGTTTGGCTCAGTGGATAGAGCGTCGGCCTGCGGACTAAAGGGTCCAAGGTTCGATTCCAGTCAAGGGCATGTACCTTGGTTGCGGGCACATCCCCAGTAGGGAGTGTGCAGGAGGCAGTTGATCAATGTTTCTCTCTCATCGATGTTTCTTGCTCTCTCTCCCTCTCTGTAAAAAATCAATAACATATATATTTAAAAAAATGACTACTTTAGGCAAGCCGGTGTGGCTCAGTGATGGAGAGAGGGAGGAAGAGAGGGAGGGAGGATGAAAGAGGGAAGGAAGGAGGGAAGATAAGAGAGTCAGGGAACATGAGTGAGGGGGAGACTTGAGCATCCTTGAGGAGCACATCCTGCAACTTAGCATCAGCCCCTTCCAAAGGATGCAGCCCCATCTTCAGCTTGCTCCCATCAGCTCTCCTGGGGAGCTGACAGAGTACTAGCTGCAGCTCATGTTGTTCCCCGCTAGAAATGAGGGTATTATCATATGATATTCATGCCCATTTTTATAAATAATTCATCTTTCTTTGCACAGAAGTGAAATAGCCTGAAGCTAGAACATTTAAAAGGAAGGCTGGTGCTGATTCATAAAATAATAATGTGCCGGATTGCCAGGCAATTTGTGAACGTCCCAGAGCTAAAATACACCGAGTTCTAGGTCTATTTTTAGCCTGGAAAGGGCCTCCCAGTGTTGTTCTCAGTTCACACTTGATAAAGGACCGTGTTATGCTTTCTCTGAAACCAGGCTTTCCCAAATCAGTTACAATCACACAGGGAACTCCACAAGATCACTTGGCAAATATGCGTATTTACAAAGTCCAAGCCCCCGGTACACAAGTGCTTATTTAACTCTACAAAAATAAATTATAAACAAAGGGATCCTGGAGCCTGATCAGCCACGCTGTGGGAAATAGGGCCACACTGCTGACTTTTCTGTGACTCTTCCCCACGCCGGACAGCGAGATTTCTTTGACAGGAGGACAGCAATTCCGGAGCTGCAAGGGCTTAAAAACAATTGTTAAACCATAAGATTTGGGCCTCGGTGTTGTTATGGGTCCCCAGTCCCCTCAATATCATGTGCTATTTTTTTTTGAAATCATTTCATCACCTGTGATGATGTTTAAGATAGTCTGATTGCTCTTGTCAGTTTATCTGCAAAAGGTACACAGCAAATTCATAATTTTGGTTCCATATAATACAGGGGAAACAACCAGTCTGCTAGGGACTACAGTTCTTGCCAGGAAATGGGAAGTTCAGTGCTAAACCAGAAAGTCCCAGGAAAACCAGGACCCATGAGTCATCATACCTATGGGGAGGGACTCTGGGATGGGGCAGGGGCACAAGATAATGACTATACCCTTTCACATACTTGGAATTTAAAAAAATATTTTGTAATTAATTTTTGAGAGAGAGAGGAAGGGAGAGGGAGAGAGAGATGGAAACATCAATGAGAGAGAAACATTGATCAGCTGCCTCCTGCACGCCCCCTACTGGGAATCAAGCTTGAAGCTTGGGCATGTACCCTGCCTGGCAATCAAACCCGGGACCTCTTGGTTCATGGGTTGACACTCAACCACTGAGCCACACCAGCCGGGCTTTATTTGGAATACTGAGCATGTGAGTTTATTACCTTTTCGAAAAATTAGGTTAAAAATGTTCTGCCAATATGAGATGGGAAAACTATTTACATTAGTGGATCTGTAAGAATGGCAAACAATAGTTTATTCGACCTGAGCAAAAATTACATCATTACATTTTTTTATTGATTTCAGAGAGGAAGGGAGTGGGAGATAGAGATAGAAACATCAATGATGAGAGAGAGAATCACTGATTGGCTGCCTCCTGCACAAACCCCTACTGGGGATCCAGCCCACAACCCAAGCATGTGCCCTTGACTGGAATCGAACCCGGGACCCTCCAGTCCTCAGGCCTATGCTCTATCCACTGAGCCAAACCAGCTAGGGCAACATCATTACCTTTAAGTGCTGCTTTGTTTATTACTTTATTCGTTTCTGAAATATAGCCTCCAAAGGTCTTGACAATTAATCACCAAAAGAACTAAAAATTTTGCCCTAACAGGTTTGGCTCAGTGGATAGAGCGTCAGCCTGCAGACTGAAGGGTCCCAGGTTCAATTCCGGTCAAGGGCATGTACCTTGGTTGCGGGCACATCCCCAGCAGTGGGGGTGCAGGAGGCAGCTGATCGATGTTTCTCTCTCATCGATGTTTCTAACTCTCTATCCCTCTTCCTTCCTCTCTGTAAAAAAAATCAATAAAATATATTTTTAAAAAATAAAAATCATCATTCTCCCCTTTAAAAAAAATTAAATAAATAAAAATTTTGCCAAGTTCTTTAACACTCATTCTCCCAACACCGTAAGGTAACTGGGGCTCAGATTTTTGTTCCAGATCAACAATTAGGAAAAAAGAGGCCCCGTGAGGTTATCTGACTTGTCCAGGGTTGGACGTGAGTGTGTGACGGGCCTTCTCTCCCGGGGCAGGCCTCTCCTTTGCTGGCCTACTTCACATCTGGTTAGCATTGTCCAACCATGGAAACAGCGGGCTGTTGCCAAAGAGAAATATTTCTATCAAAGTTTCTCAAGTGTCCCCTAGGAGAGCGCGCCAACAACGAGGGATGACTTAATAGTGGCTGATGGAACCCTCCCGGCCAATCACACTGCAGCGAAGGGTGCCACCCACAGAGCACGTTTTATGGGCTTTTAATAGGACACAAAGTCCTCAAGTGCATCATGGGAGGAGGGCCCCAACCTCTGAGCGAAGGGTGGCCCATCTGCTGAGCTCCTTTTTGTCTAATACACATCAAAGTCACGTTCATTCTTTTTCTTCTCAAAATGAAGATTGTGAAAGGCAAAGACCAGCTGGGCAGAACTAAAGGGGGTACAGGCTTCGTTCTCTGGCAAGGCTGAGGGGGAGGATGGGGGCAGCTCACCCTCCCACGGGGTCTGTAAACTTAAGAGCCACTGTGAGGCCAACTCCAGCCTGCCTGATGAGAACACACCAGCTGCCGTCCTGTTTCCATCGGGGCCTGGATTCCCAGAGGAGCCACCCCATGTCCAGAGGCACCCCCTCCATGCCTGTCCCGCTGTGGTTCCCACAGTGGGTGTCACCAGCCTCTCAGAGAAGGCCTGAGTGAGGTTTTGCATTTGCACAAATTCCAGTTTGAATTCCCAAGCTTTTTGTCTTTTTAAAAAAGGTATTTTGCCGAAACCGGTTTGGCTCAGTGGATAGAGCATCGGCTTGCAGACTGAAAGGTCCCAGGTTCGATTCCGGTCAAGGGCATGTACCTGGGTTGCGGGCACATCCCCAGTGGGAGATGTGCAGGAGGCAGCTGATCGATGTTTCTCTCTCATCGATGTTTCTAACTCTCTCTCTCCCTTCCTCTCTGTAAAAAATCAATAAAATATATTTTAAAAAAATAAAATAAAAAAGGTATTTTTTTATTGATTTCAGAGAGGAAGGGAGAGAGAAAGAGAAACATCCTTGATGAGAGGGAATAATTGATTGGCTGCCTCCCATATGCCCCCCGACAGGGATCGAGCCTACAACCCGTGACCTCTTGGTTCCTGGGTTGACACTCAAGCGCTGAGCCACACATGGCTGGGCCTAGGCACAGGATGGAGAGACAGGAAGAAGTCTGGGGATGGCCCCAAGTGGCACCTTCTCTCCTGCCCCCAGTGTGAGTTCCAAACCTTCCCGCCTCTGTGGCTGCCTCCTAGCCCCACTCCAGACCCTTCCATCTCCACACCCCTCCCAAGTCCTCTTTCTCTTTCCTTGCTCCGCTTCCGTCTCAGGGATGTTCTTCCCGTTGGATTGGCTCCTCTGTCTCCTCAAGGCTTTGTCCCATCAATCGCCTCCACTTTCCCCTGAACCTTCAATCCTCTACTGGATACTTCCCATTCTGGTCTCTCATCACTTAACAAAATCCCCTCAACTTTGGATGTCGCCTAGAACTGAAAGCTGCCCAGAATGAGGGATGACCTGGACTGCTAACACCAGAGTCCCGGGCACCAGGGGCGTGTGGTCACGTAATGGCATTGCTCACATTGTTCTGGCATTAACTGTCTTTCTGACCAGACTGGAGAGAAGAAATTTTGCCTTGTTCATGTTCACATTCCCAAAATCTAACCTAATGTCAGGGACATATATGGTCCATTGTCAAAAACATTTGCTAAATGTGTTCATTGAGATAGCAATTCATTGGGGCAGCAAAAGAGCTAAAGGTCACGGTTCAAATCCTGTTCCTCTTCCCACATGACCTTGGGCAACTTATTACTTTCATTTACATATTTATTTGTTTGTCCCTGAATGACTTCAGGCAAATTTCTTGGCCTCACAGAGCCTCTATTTACTCTTTTGTAAAATGGAGATGATAATATCCACTTCATAGAGAAAATTAAATGTGAAAATTAAATGAGTGTAAAGTAGTTAACATAATACCCGGCATATAATAAGCTTGCAATAAATGTTAAATGCTAATACTATTTGTTATTATTAAAGAATTAGCACGGTGCGTTCAATAAGGATGCACCGTGCTAACTCTTTAATAATATCAAAGAGTATTAGCATCTAACATTTATAAATAATTTATTTCCCCCATGAAATAAATTAATATAGGTGGCCTTACCAGTGGTTCTCAACCTGTGGGTCGAGACCCCTTTGGCAGTCCTACGATCCTTTCACAGGGGTCGCCTAACACCATCTTGCATATCAGATATTTACATGACAATTAGTAACAGTAGCAACATTACAGTTATGAAGTAGCCACGAAAATAATTTTATGGTTGGGTCCCAACATGAGGAACTGTATTTAAAGGGCGAGAAGGTTGAGAATCACTGCCTTACGCCGTAGAGAAAGCTTCCCTAAAACAGTGGCTACACATTAGAATCCCCAAGGGAACTTTTAGGAAGACTGATACCCAATCCCCAACCCATTAATTCAAACCTCCAGGGATGGGTCCTGCATCAGCTCCTTAAAGGGCTCCCCTGGTGATTCTAATAGGCAACTGGGGGTGAGAACCTCTGCCTCAGGGCACTGGGCTAGCTGCTCTTCAGCTCTTAATTGCTGCACTGGGTCTTTCCAAACACCCCTAACTTAGCTATTATCAACATCAATTCCCTTTGTCCCCCTAACTCCCTCCGTCTTCTGGAAAACTCCAACCATTCCCGGTTGGTACCATCCTTCCTAAAGCCCTTACACAGGCCCCTGCTGCTCCCTTCCCTTCAGACTCTTCATAGCCGGATATTCTCTCAGGGATCTGAAGAAATGACAAAGAGGCCGCTTCTGCTGTGTCTTCCCTAAAGGGACAGATGGTTTTATTTTCCAGCCAGTGTTTCTCAAACTGGGCTCCACAGACATCTCCCTGGAGATCCAGGAGTTCTGCAGAATTATTTTGTTTATGATTGCTGGTCATCTACAATATGACTAGGGTACATTATCTGGTCACACCTTTACAAGAGACCTGCTGCAAGATGTGAATGCCCGGGTTTGTGTTTCATGACATAAAGGCGGTGCACATAAACAGATTTTTGAAGTAGTCCAAATAGAGGGACCACAGCGGGAAACGGAGTCCTCCCATGGCACGAGGCATTAGAAGCAAAACACTCCAAGTGACCAGCAAATAGCCACTCGAGTTCAATTCACAACAGAAATAGATGCAGTTTGTGGGTCCTGTCTTAGCACAGTTGGCAACAGTTTTTTAGCCATAAATTGTAAGAGGAATGACATGAAGATACAAATTATTTTCAACTGCAAACAACACATAAGGTTTCATTTTTCTCATGTCAAGAATCTGGAGGTGGGTGATAGCTGG